AAAGCCGTAAATCATAGAAATATAAGTGCACTTTTTCTTGAGATATAAAAAATGGGAAATTNGCTTCCAATGAGTAATTAAAATATATATATATGTATATATGTGATTGATAATTTATTTTTTCTGGGAATTTTCTAAATTTTGTGTATCCTCATTTTTTTTCATTTTTAATTTTTTAAAGTTATTTTTAATTTCTGCTTTTATTTCTTCTATATTTAAATTTAATGGATCATCTAAATCATTTTCAAAACCTGGAATACACCCATTTTCACATCTACAGTTTCCACCAAAATAAGTTGGTATATCCTGAAGAAATAGAAAATAAGAATATGTATATGAGTTTTTAAGGGGATATAATTTTTTATTTGAATTTACATCTTTATGAACAAGTAGTGTAAACCAATCACAATCAGCTGGTTCTCTTCCTGCAATAATTTTAGGAATTTCTAATTTATTAAGTGTTCTTTTACTTATACCAAATGTCTTTAATGTTTCAATAGTTATTCTAATATATGATGGAGCATTTATTAAATACTAAAAAAAAAACATAAAAATAAAATATATATATATATATATAATTGTATATGATGAAGATAAATTATTATAAATAAAAGTACTGTTTTTCCAACTAATTGTGGATGCAAAAATTCAGATAATTTTGAAGTATTTGCAAAAACTCTTAAGAATCTTCTATCAAATTTTTTAAGCATAAATCCTTTTAAATCAATAAAACGATAAGTTCTACAAAGCACATTACTTTTTTTTGTTTGTTCATTACATACAATAAATTCATGTTCATTTGAGTAAACAATATAATCCACAAGAATATTTTCAGGTACATTATCTAATAATAAGGTAAAATTACACAATTTTAATCTAGCTATTACAACGGGTTGATTATCTACTGTTGACTTGTGTTCACATGCAGCTAAGGTTTTTTTTATAAAAGAATAATATGGTTTAAGTCTATCTGGAAATAGTAAATCATTATTTCCAGAATGTATTTTTTTATTTTTTAATAAAGGATATACATTTTTTTTTCTCCATAAAATAGCTTTTTCAATTGAATTTACTGCATCTTCTAATTTATCTCCATAAGAAAGTATATATCTGATTAAAATTATATCTTCTACATTGTCTTTTATATTTTTTATTTTCATTAATCTTTTTACAGTTTTTATTTGTTCTTCATATTTCTTTAGTAATACATCTAAGTTATACGATATATTTCCTGGAGTAATGCTCATATTCTTATTCTTTCTTTTTTCTCTTTCCTTTTTTCTTCCTTTTAGTTATATTTATTGATAATATTTTTTTATATTAATAACAATTATAATAATATTTTTCATTAAATATATATACGTATATACATATTTTTAACAACTATTGTCTAAATTTATTAAAAATGTTATTTCCGAATATTTAATAAAGATTTTTTTGCAGATTTTATTAGATATTAATAAATTTCTCATAATTCACAAATAATAAAAATTATATAAAATTCCCAACTCTTATTTTTATTATATATATTCATTTACTTTTTTTTTATTACTATAAAAAATTTTACTCTTGAATATTTTTGCATTATTAACTAATTACATATAAAATGTTTATAAATTTTATAATAAGATTTTTCCCTTAATATAATTTTATCTTTTCTTCATTAAATCACAATTTTTTTTTTTTTTTTATACACACATTTAGCTTAAATTACAA